GAACAGAGGGATGGAGATAAAGATGGCTGCACAGATGCAGATTCTGGGGGTATCTCTGAAGCCAGTGGTCACCCCCCAATTTATGTCCTAACCGGTGACCCCAACCTTGGTTTCCTCCTTGTCGACCCATATATACTAATAAAAAGTCACCTAGTGAGCTGTTAGTTTCATATTTTTGTCTCCTCCGGCGGGGCTCAGGTGGTTTTCTCTGTAGATGGAGGAGCAGGCGGTCCCTCTTCTGCAAGAAACTTTATTCTTCAATGTACCTCAGCTTCCTTGTCTACAAAATGGGGAGTAACTGAGCCGGCCTGACTTTCCCTACAGAACTGTGTGAGGACCCACAAGCTAGCAGATGCGAAAATTGCTCTAGAAAGAACGAAGTGCCATATTTACAAACACGGGATGTACTTACTGATTTATTATGCTCCCGTGTGTCCCAGAAAAAAATTCAAAGTATCCTCAAATTCGAGGTATGCATGCCATACGCTGGGATAAAAATAAAGTGACGGAGCAAAGGGAAAAGGAGAGTAGAAAAGTAAAACAAAGCCAGGAAAAACACTAGCACAGGGAAACCTACACCCAAAACTCCTGAACAAGTTCAGATGGGAACTTCCTCATGAATGAAAAGGTGGGAGCCATCATCAGTTACAAAAGGCACTGAAACCATGAGGTAAAAGTGTACAGCAGGCTTTGAGAGACCACATAGCTTGTCTTGGCACTAATGCTTAATAAAAATGTCTTCTCATCAAGAAGATATTATGTATGTCAAGATATTATGAATATGCTTATTCAACAATATTTCAATTCCTGTCCTTTCGTTTTCACAATGTCATCTGACATCTACTTCAGGATCTCCTGTGAATTCATCATCTATTTATGATTTGATTTAATTTAGCTAAAAACTGGATACTAATTAAATATCAAACAAAATTGTCCCTTTCATCTTTTCTGCTTTCTTTTCTTTTTACAATAAAATGAGGTTGAGTGCAAGGAGCAGTAGAGAAGTTCCCCAGTGAGGGATGGGACAGAAAGTTTGAGCATCCTGGCTAAGCTAAAACATAAAAATCACCAAGATATAAAACTGATCCAAGTAGGCCATAAAGACTGCCTTTGCCTCAGAACCTGGACTAAATCTGCTGCCCTGGAACAATATTCAAACATAAATCAGCCTCCACTACATTTTTAACCACCTACGGAATTTTTCAATTCCTGCCCAAAATGTTTCTGACAGTGAATGATTCCACTTCCTCACTCTTGCTCTGAGAAGGTACCCCTGGGGCGGCTGTGGGGGTCCCAGCCTGGCCCCACAGGTCAGTCAAGCCCAGGATGAGACTGTCGAAACCAGAAAAATAGAGGTTAAAATAGGGACTGCCTTAAAGAAATTTGGCCTGAAGGCAGAAACCACAAGGAAATTAAGGAAGAACATAGGGAGTGGAGAAGGCGGAACTACAAAACCAATGGGGCTGAACAAGGAGAGGACCACCTGTTCAAGTGTCTAGATTAAAATTTTTCCATTACTCAAAACCCAGAAAGCTTAGGTCATGCTCGTGCCACCTGAGTAGCCAGTAGCTAACAGCCACATTTGCTTTTATACAATGCTTGCTTGCTCGCGTCTATAAAAAGACTTAGCTGTAAGCGCTTGGCGTGGCTCTCGTTTGCAGCTCTTATGAGCACCGTGTCTCCGGACACTCTGAGGGTCCGCCCCTGCGCAGGTTAAAACTTTGGCCAATAAAATAACAACTCTGAATCCTGAAAGTTTCTGACAATTTGTCTCTCGCGTTGGTGGATGCAACAGGGACAAGGGGTGGAAGGATTGACCCAAGAGTCTTCAGGACAGAGGCAGGGCTACGGCTAGCCTGTGCAGTGCTTTTGTTGAAAAGGGAGCCCCCTAAAGCACAGGAAGCCCCTTGGGTTCCCACCTGGGGTGCTCTCTTCCCCTTCTTTACCTAATCCAGTTTCGATTATTCTCCAGGACCCATTCATTGCCTTGACAAAACCCACAGCATTCTCTTCTCTTTTGAGCTCCTAATTCATCAACAGTAAGTACCAGACAGTTGGCATTTCATTTTATGACGTCTGGTATTTACTATTTCAGGTTGTCAGTCTGTCTCTCTAACTGGATTAAAGGTAATGATTGGTTCTTATTTTATATGTCTACCTTATAGCCAACAGAAGTGCCTATGTCTGACCTCTTTACAAATAACAAGGTCATTAAAAACAGCATTCAAGGGTGTCTAAGGTGTCTCGTCCTCCCCGCTGTGCCTGTTTCACAGACAAGGAAATGGAGAGCCAAAAAGGGGGCTTGACCTGCCCAAGGTCACACAGTGAGAATCTGGCTTCTCACTGGGTTTACACCCAGGTATAAACCCAGCTCTCCAGTCTGCCATTGTATGCTCTATTCGCCTTCAACACTTCGCTCCAAAACTCCCAAATGGGAAGTGCAGGACCACAGCTCACTAAAGAACAAAGACAGACAGACAGAAAGCTGGTCCACAGTAATCTGTCTGTACGTGGGCAGAATTTCCAGAAGCCAGGCCAAGCTGCAGCAGGATCAGCAAACAGACCTACGGGCAATCAAAGCTGGTCTTTGTGTGTACCAGGGGGATGAAGGACCTCAGCAGGTTACCCGGGGCTCTTGCAGCTTCCCCAACACCACAGGGGTCAGCAATGTCCATAACGTCTGGGCACATGAAACCCGTGATTGATGGTCTTATCAGGAAGGACAAGTAAAGGTGGAGATGGCATCTACTCTCTAGGGAGAGACACTCCCTAGAGTATTTGGGGGCTGCCTTTCGTAGTGAACTACTCACCCTTGATAGCAGGAAACAACCCAGGTACTAACTCCTAACTCCTAACAACAGAAGCTTTACAATTGTGTCAAAGCTGATAGAAACCAATATCAAAATATAATCAAAATACAAAAGGCAACCGTTGCTAAGTGAAACCTGATAATGAAAAACTGGCAGCAGGAGAATCCATCCTGATGACTCTCTCTCCTGGCTGCTAACAAGCCACAGCACTGACCACTTAATAATTCTCACAATGGCCCTACAAGCCTGGCACCACCAGCTTCTTCTACAGATGTGGAAACCTAGGCTCAGCTAACTTAAATACCTTGACCCAAAACTACAGCCGCTAAGTGCCCAGCTGGGATTGGAATCCAGGTCAGTCTCATTCTAAAAGCTTCCCTTTCACATAACCCACTTGGGCTCTCATTCCAGTCCCATTTCAAGTATTGGTCTCGTTATGAGAACCAGGAGACAGGTCTGGTTTGGAAAACCTGACCTTGGGGGAAGATGGATGACAGCTTGCCCATTGCTTCACAGGGAAATAAGAGAGAAAGTCAAGGCACCCACATGAAGCTCACCCAGTCTCCGTGACTTTTTCATGGCGCCAAACGAACGCAAAAGGAGCCACTTCTAAAAGCACAGAGTGTTTTTCCTCCTTTTCTCACCTCCCCTGGGCCCGTGCCTGTGATAATTGGGAGGCACAAAGTCTGGTTTTTCTGGGATTGGAACCAATACTGTGAAGAGTGTTCTGACAATAAATGTTGCTGACTGACAGTTGCTGGACAACGTTCTTGAGTAAGTTTCTTCTGTGCTGGGTGTTAGGCTGAGATCTGCACCAGGGAACTGCTCAACAGCCTGCTGACAGTTCAGACAGAATTTACTACACTTTTCCTCTGCTGGCCTCAGTCAGGTGGCCAGGGAGGTGATAGGTCAGGTCTCCTCCAGCTCCACCCTTCAATGACTCTATCAAGACGAGAACAGAGATCCGAAAACATCTTTGCCCCAAACACTGAGTTGGGGCCATTATTCACACACAGAAACAACAGGCTCCAACGAAGAGATAACTGGTCAGAAAATAAGGAGCTTCAATTCTTCATATTCTTTGACCCAATAATTCCACTTATACAAACTTATCCCAAAGAATTCAGAAAGACAAAGCTATATGTATGCAAAGATATTTGCTCTCCCATTATTTAGAGGTGACGTCCAATCTAAGACTGATGTTTTACATGGTGGCATACACCACTATCACAAACGGTGATTTCAAAAACAGGGAAGTGTCTATGACAGTGTTTTACAAATTGCAGTTCAATAATCCATTAGCGGGTCATGAAATAAACTTAACAAGTCTCCTGCCACCAACTTTAAAAAAATGAAACAGGCTAGAATAAGAAATATCACAGTGCATCACAGGTGGTAAAGGGGTTTATCAGGAAATTTTAGTTTCAGTCATGTGGGTAACTGGGCCATGATACAGAATAACATTTTTTATCATGGGGTCACAGTGAAAACATTTCAAGTACCTGGGTCTACAGTGTACTGTAAGTAGGATGACAACAGTATACAATACTATGTTTGAAAGGATGACTGGAAGGGAGTATGAGACAAGGAACTGGTGTTAAGACTGGTAGAATATAAGGGATGCTGCTTTAGATTTTCTGTGATGTTTGTGGGCTGTGAATGAAACAAGGAAACAATGAAACAAGGAAAATGAATAAGAACACAAGACCGAAAGGAAGAATAACACGCTCATTATCAGATCTCCAAAGGCTAAGGGACTCAGAATAGGGCTTCCTGGAAAGCAGTGCTTCAGGATGGACTTTGAAGGCTGGGCAGGGTGTGAATGGGGGTGGGGTGGGAGGTGCAGGTTGGCCACAAAGTGTGCAGGGTGATGAGTAAAGAGATGAAGGGCAACGAAGAAGAAGATGGGGTGGGGAAAAAAAGGCTCTCGGTGTTGTACAGTGGCTTTGCGTAAATACGGAAAGAGGCGGCTCTACTCCAGGGTTGGGAGTTCCAGGGTTGGGTGTTTTTCCTCCCCGGGGCATCTAGTGACCCATCCTCCCTCCCCCCGGCCCAAGCCTGAGGTTGCCCCTCATAAACATGGCCGCGCCACGCTGGCCCCGCCCCTCAATGACCGGTAACCCCACCTCTCACCGCCTTGTGGCCAATAAAGGAGAAGCACGACTGTTTGCGCATGCGTGATACCACCAACGGGAGCGTCCAATAACGACTAGGGGATCCGGGCAAGTAAAAATGGCTAAAAAGAAGCGGGAGAAACTGGGCGTCGCTCTAGAGGTGAGAAGAGAAGTTGGAGTGGGCCACGTCGTCAGTGGCCTACTTCCCGCGGCGGGGTCGTGGGTCTGCCCAGCTGTAGACTGGAGGAGGGGCCAGAGGGAGGCAGTCGGGGGGACGCGGGTTTGGAAGAGGGAAGCCAGGGACGAGAGGGGGCCCCCCCGTGCGCACCTGGAGGGGCCCGAAGGCTGCAGAGCCCGAGGAGGCGCCGGAGGTGGGAACCGGAGGTGAGGGGACCTCCAGAGGGGAAGAGACTTGGAAGTGAACGGGAGCTCCAAAGAGGACGGGACAAAGAAATTAAGGAGGCCCCGAAGGGAGACGTTAAGTGAAGACCCTAAAAGGACGGAGGTTGAGGGGTACCCCAGAGGTGTAGAGACCTGTAGATGAGGAACCCCCAAAGGTTAGGAACCCGTACTGTTTAGTGTATTAGTAGTGGCTTGGCTTTCCTCTGAGGTGGGAAATTTTTCCTCTAGGGTGCTGAAGCTTGTAGCTTGAAAATTACTTTGGGAACCTGTGGGAATTTGTAGAGAATTGTGGAATGGTGATGCTTCCAAATTGCTTAAAAATAATTTGCTGCCTATGAAAGGGAAAGGAAATTGATGCATATTGAGCGGCGTCTATATGCTACTTTGTTTGCATTCTCAGTTAATTCTCAGTATAAACCCGTGAGACTTGTACAGGTGAGGAGACTGAGGTCGAGCAGAGCACAGGTTGAAGCAGTAGAGGAGCTGAGAAACACAAGCCAGGTGATTGGTCTTCTAGTGCAGCGGTCTCCAACCTCTTTGGCCAGGGACCCATTTCCTGGGAGAAGGGGGGCGGGCAAGGGTGACAGGAGGCGGAGCTCTGGTGAGCTTCCCTCCCCTGCTGTGGACGGATGGGGTGAGGGGGTATTGCGGGGCGCGGTGACAGGAGGCGCTCCCATGGTTCCTAAGAGCCCTGTTCTAGTGCATCTTGTTTCTAACCTGTTACAATCCCTGGAGATCACTTCCCAGAGGTTGCAAGAAACAGGGTAGTAGTCTTGAGCTTACTACCCAGTTTAGTGCTTCTCAAATGTAAGGCTGCACTAAGAATCATTGGAGAGCTTGTTACAATGGAGAGTTGTTGAATTCCCTCTCACCTGGAGTAATTTCATTAAGACTTGGGTGTGTATTTGGGGGTGGAGAGAGTGTATTTTTAACAAAGAATTTGTGGGGGGGGTTTCATTGATTTGAGAGAGAGAGGTAGGTACATCGATTTGTTGTTCCACTTATTTATGTTTTCATTGGTTGATTCTTCTTTGAGCTCTAACCATGTATTGAGCCTGCAACCTTGGCATATTAGCATGATGCTCTAACCAACTAAGCTACCTGGCCAGAGCCAAAGAATGTTTTTTAAAAATTGTATTGATTGATTTTAGAGAAAAAAAAAGTCAAATTGTTGTTCCACTTATCTACACATTCTTTGGTTGATTCTTGTATGTGCCCTGAGTGGGGATTGAATCCACAACCTTGACACATTGGGACTCTGCTCTCACTCACTGAGCTACCCGGCCATGGCAGGAGTTTGTGGTTTTAACAAGCTACCCACATCATGCTGAAGCAGGAGGTTTTAGTAACACCCTCAAGAAATATCAGCCTACTTGGTAGGGAAAAAAGTTGATGGAAATATAAGTTTTCTGAAAGAGAATATAGATGGTAAAATGAGAAGACACTATGTAGTGGGAAGAGCATAGATTTTATAGTCTGTATCAGGACACAATAAGCTGCTATAACAGACCTCAAAAGTCAGTGGTGTCAAGAACAAGAAAGCTGTGGGGGGTTTTCTAACATGCTAGAGCAGGGATGGGCAGGTAGGTGTTGTCTGTAAAGGGTCAGATATAAATATTTAGTCTTTGCGGACCATATAGTCTCTTGTAACTACAGTTGATCCTCATTATTCATGGAGTCTATATTTGTGAATTTGTCTACTCGTCAAAATGTATTTGTAAAATCACTGCCTGCAATGCTTTTGCAGTAATTCACAAACTCAAAGCAGTAAAAAATTTGAGCCATCTGAGGCCCATGTATCTTGCTAAGGTTGAACAAGGCAGTCCCTCTGCCATCTTGTTTCAGTTCTTATATGGGAAACAAGCGTCCTTTTTGTGGTCTCTTTAGTGCCACACTTTTTTGTAATGTTGGGCTTTTTGCTGGGGATTTTGCTGTTTAAAATGGCTCTGAAATGCAGTGCTGAAGTGCTGTCTAGTTTTCCGAGTGCAGGAAAGCTTCCTGTGCCTCGCAGAACAGCTTTGTGTGTGCCTTTGTTCCAGTCTGAGTTATAGGGCTGTTTGACTGTGAGTTCAGTGTTAATGAATCGAGAATATATATTATATTAGGTCTTGTTAAACACGCAAAACAAGGTTTTGTATTGATCAGTTGATAATATTGTGACCAGAGGCTCACAGGAGCTTAACCTGGTTCAGTATTTGCTAATTCATTTTTTGGTGGCAACTTTATAGAACATAACTACCAACAAATAATGTGAATCAACTATACTCAAGATAGGCTGTCTTAGCACAAAAGTAGCCATAGACATTATGTAAACTAATGGGTGTGGCTGTGTTCCAATACCACTTTATTTACAAAATGGATGATGGGCTGTGTTTGGCCCACAGTCTGTATAGTTTGCCAACCCCTGGTCTAGAGTACTAGGACAGTAGTGGTTCTGCCTTCCCTGAGGATGTTATTGTCACCTCGTGAGTGAAACCAGGCCATACCGCACTGATGTACCTACCCACTGGCAGGGAAGGACAGAGTGGAGGAAGCACACTTAGTGTCTTAAGAGTCCTGGACCTAAAGTGCCCACTTTTCATTGGCAAAGATGTGAGGTAGGAAGCGAGGCCTCACCTGTCTGCAGGGGGAGGCTGGAAAATGCATTCGGCTAGGAGGCCACATGCCACAATGCAGCTTGATTGTAGGGAAGAAGGGGCTAGTGTGTTTTAGTGGACAGCCCATGGTCCGCATAGATCAAAGCTTACCTCGAAGAGTGGTTTTGAGGATTAAATGAGAAAATCTATTTAAAGAGCCTAAGGGGCCTGGCAGTGTTATGATCAACAAACAGTGCTCTCTTATCAGCAGACTTTGTAGTTCTTTTGCATCTTTTTATCATGGTTAAGTCCACCCCCTTGTTTGGACTTCAGTTTCCTCATCTGTAACACAAAGGACTGTAACTTCACCATGGTCTATAGACTCACATGGTCCAAGTACAGATCATAGTTGTCTATTTGGCTGACACAGGCTTTAAAAGTGTTTTGAATTTGCTGGGACACATGTTCTAATACCGCCTTACACCAGTCACATTTGCCAATATACTTTTTGATATATCAGTACCCATATAGATACTTACATTTGCCATCTTCATCTCTAAGGTTACTTTTTGCTTGGGTAGTCTAAAGTTTGAGATCTGTAACTGTGCACCTTAGGAAAAGCTTGGCATCTGGCTGTCTCCTCACCTTGCTCCTCTGTTGCCCCAGTGAGTCTGAGTGTCGAATGTGTACTGATGCTCAGTAGCAGTAAATACTGTTATTGAAAGTCGTGTGTTTAGAGCCAATGAGATGATGATTTAATCAACAGTGTTTGTTAATCTGAGAGACCGATAAAATCCCCACAGATGAGTGAGCTGAGCACCTGCAAACAGTCTCCACTTGTTGTAATGCAACAATGGCCGCGCAGGCAGCACTCAGCCCGAGGGCCAGCGTGGCCACTGTACTGGGCAGTTCCCTCCCAGGACAGCCATGACTCCTCCTAGCCTTCATGACGCGTGGCTTCTCTTAACGCCTTTTTATCTAACTCATTTGACACCTCGTGAGATCTCAGAGTTGGAAAAAACTGGCTATGAGTTTTAGCTTCAGAGAGTTAATTCTAAATAGCAAGAAAATTTCAATTCAGATGAGAAATCACCAGCTCTGGTACTGATTTTAATGTTGTGTGGGAGGAGGGAGAAGGTGTATTTTACTCTAAACTGATAGGTGGGTTCTGGCTGAGGGAAAGGTTGCATTTCAGTCTAAAGTGATAGGATTTTTGGCTGGTGTAAAACCTGTTGATGTTTTTAAATCTCTGATAATAATGAGCTGTCATTACTTGGTCATTGTGCTTTTCTTTTGAAGCGGGACTATTCAACGTGGTGTCCTTAGATGTTTCAACAGCCAATTGTCTTAACAGATGTGCAGTGTCTTACTGACATTTTAAAGGAGATACTGGGCTTGATCTTTTTCCTAGTACAAAAATCTATCAGTTTGGAAAGTTTTGGGCTACAAGTTACAAAAAACTGTCCTTAGTTATCTAAACAAATAGGAGTATATTTTTTTCCCATAACAGGAAATTTGGAGGTTGGTGACTTTGGTTCAAAAGCTCAGCAATGTCAGGGCTGGTATTTCTGCATTCTCTAAGTTGTTTCCTCATAGTCTCAATATAGCTGCCCAAGTTCCAGTCATCATATCTGATTTTTAAGATTTTATTTATTTGTTTTTAGAGAGGGGAAGGGAGGGAGAAAGAGAGGGAGAGAAACATCTATGTGTGGTTGACTCTCACATGCCCTCTACTGGGGACCTGGCCTGCAACCCAGGCATGTGCCCTGACTGGGAATCAAACTGGTGAACCTTTGGTTTGCAGGCTGGCACTCAATCCACTGAGCCACACCAGCCAGGGCTCATATCCAACTTTAAATGAGGAAGGAGAAAGGAACTATAACACTCTTTGTTCCTTTTATAAGGAAAGCATAAGCCCTCCTAGGAATCTCCCAGCTGACTTCTGAACATCTTGTTGGCCAGAACTGGTTCATGAGCACGCCTAGCTGCAGTGAGGCTGGCAAAGCATTTGTTGAGCTGTTCTAACTTCTGTAATGGAGTTAGACAAAGGAGGGGGGTTGGGAATTAGTGCTGTGCTGGCCAACTAATAGTGTCTGCTACAGGGAATACAATTTAATGGGAGTCATTTAAAATTTACTGGAATCCTTCTCAGAAAAAGAGGCTACGATCAGTGACGATGAGG